TCCAGAACGTCGTTGTGTCAGGAGGTTCCCAGACGGTTGTTCACGGCAACTACATTACATATGAGGGACAACATGTGAATTATCCAACCAACAGCCATGCTGGAATTCAAGGTAGGATGACATCTATCTCGTCCTATTCAGTCACTGACTTTTTTCTTGCATCAGGATTGAAAGAACTCTACGAGAATATCGCGGCGGGCGCGATGCACAACTCCAAAGAACGTTATGACTCTCCCAAATGTCATCCCGACACTCGGAAAGCAGTATTGAGCGATATCACCAGCTGGATTTCGGATCGCTCCAAGAAGACTTGTATCCTCTGGCTGAGCGGTCCAGCTGGCTCGGGAAAATCGGCCATTCTGCAACAAATAGCAGAAATTTATCATAATTCTGGGGGATTGTCTGCAAGCTTCTTCTTTTCTCGGACAGCCACGAAGAGAAACAGCGATACCTTCCTCATCACCACACTCGCTTCCCAACTTGCGATTTCGATCCCAGCCACTAAACCACTCATTGGAAGAGCAATTGAGCGAGACCCCTTCATCTTCCACCGCGTCCTCTCTGAACAGATGGACCATCTTGTGGTTCGCCCGCTGGTATATGCTTCACTCCATCCTGAGAGCGGTCCACCATGGCCAACTTTGCTTGTCATAGATGGGCTCGATGAGATAGGAGAGCGTCATGCTGAAATTCTTCGTATCCTTAGGAATGCCCTTTTAAAACTGAAGTCCTCTTTACCAACACTTTACCTCCTGATCGCGAGCAGGCCAGAGCCAGCCATTGTCGCTGTTTTTGACAACGAACTCTCGGATATCACTCATCGTCTAGTTCTAGATGACACTTACCATCCTGATCATGACATCGCCGTATTTCTTCGAAGCAGCTTCGCTGACATATTCCGTCGACGCCATGCTCGCTTCCCTTCTATGTTGTCCATCCCGCAGCCGTGGCCCCCAGAGCATATTATTGCCTTCCTTGTCCGAAAATCATCAGGCCAATTCATTTTTCCTGCGACGGTGATTAGGTTCATAGATGTTGATCGTAAAATTCCAACTGCCCAGCTTCAGCTGATACTCGATATTTGTGGATCAGTGGATTCATCTAGTTTTGCAACTAACCCTTTCGCTCTACTCGACGAGCTCTATGGCTATGTCTTGAAGTCTAGCGAAGAAACGGAGAGGGCTATTTCTATACTTGGGGCTATTTTCTACCTAAATGGCCATTGGCAAAGTCCGACTCGTGGATTTCTCCAGGCGCTTCTCCG